GCTTATAAGCCTTGGTGCTCCAACCATGGTATCCCCGGGTTAACCCTTTTACACAAAGCGAGGACGAAAGTGTAAGCGGGATACCATACGAACGTGGGGGTCCGCTCAACGTGTAGAGCGGACTAATGCGAATTTTGAAGGTAGGGTGTTACAAAAGTTGAGAGGTAAACTTTTATAACTTTGACCATCAATAACTTTAAAAATAATTAATTTAAAAAAACTAGAACAACATATATAGATTTATCTTTCAAAGCACTATAATAAAAAATAAACATACATTTATTTATTGTATTATTCAAATAGAAAAATAATGTTAAAAATATTTTTTTTAGACCGTGGCAATGTCTAAATATCAATTAAAATGAAATCGGAGAGAGTAATTGGGTCATATGCAAAAGCTAGTTTAGACATAAAGTCCAACGGGGATCCCTAATTAATTCACGTGTGCGCGCTAGCAGCTGGCTGTGTAACTCGCGCCCGCCCCCATGATGCCCACGCAAAGCACACATATTAGTGCTATAGCAGTAATTATACACGCTAATAATAGTAATTAGTATTATTTTTTAAAAAAATAAATATTTTACTTAAAAGTTTTAAAAGAATAGTTGAAAGTTTACAATTGAGTTAAAAGTTTCTGAATTTTGGGTTAAAAGTTTCTGAAATTTGAGTTAAAAGTATTCAATTTTGATATGTAACCTTTCAATTTTGAGATGAAAATTTTGAATTTTGAGTTAAAACTTTTTAAAATTTGAGTTGAAAGTGAGATGAAAGTTTTAAAGTTTGGGAGAAACTTTATGAATTTTGATTTCAACGTTTTAAATTCCAGTAGAAGGTTTTGCTTTTTTTAATCTTCCCCCAAATTTGAGCTGACTCAAGAATAAACCTCATTTTTTTAAGGGTGTATCTATAAAACTTTCGACAATTTTTTTAATAGAAAACTTTCATACATAACTACAGGCGATTTACATTGTAGTTACATGTAACTATTATTGTAACTATTATGTAATTGTAACTGGTGTATAAAGATTCGTAAACAAATGAGTAGCTCGTTGGTTAAGGTGCTTGCACGCAACTTACGTGTTCCGGATTCGATTCTTCTTCACGAAGGTGTACTGGTAGATATTTGAAAGTATTGGTCCACAAAAACATGCGATAGAAAAATAGAAATTCCCCAAATTCCCCTTTTTTTTAATTGGATCCATGTCATTGTAAATTCTTCAGTTTTGAAATATACTATGATAATATGTGATATTATAACTATGCCACTTTAATATTGGATCCATGTCATTGTAAATTCTTCAGTTTTGAAATATACTATGATAATATGTGATATTATAACTATGCCACTTTAATACTACAATAATTTGAGGTATGCCACTGTTTACCCTTTCATAGCTTTCGCACTGGTGAGTGGTGCTACCTATTCCGATGGTTCATACCGCTTCTACTCACTTCAAATCCTTTATATTTTAGAACGGAGAGAGTAGCTCGTGAACTGGAAAAATATGCAATTAATGTTGCAAGTTTAAAATGCTTCTATAGTTGTATATGCTGTAGGATGATTAGTTTCTATTCCCCCCTCTCACAAAGAATTTATTTTTCAGTTTTTGAATATAACTTTTGACTCTTCAACTTATTTAAAAGTTTTATATGATTAGTTTTTTTAATGAGAAAATATGAATAGTACTTTGTGTGTGACTAATTTTTTTAAATATTATTATAAATTTTTAAATAAGACAAACAGTCAAACGTTAGATAAAAAAAACCCAAAAATAAAGTCTCTTTGAGACGGCGGAGTACAAGTGCAATCTGCAGGTACAGCTTTGGATCTTGCGATAGCAACCCACTTTTAAGGCCGTGTTTAGATTCAAATTTTTTCTTCAAACTTCCAACTTTTCCGTCACATCAAATATATGGACACATGCATGGAGCATTAAATGTGGAAAAAAAACCAATTGCACAATTTGCATGTAAATCGCGAGAACGAATCTTTTGAGCCTAATTATATCATGATTTGATAATGTTATGCTACAGTAAACACTCGATAATGACGGATTAATTAGGCTTAATAAATTCGTCTCGCAGTTTACAGGCGGAATCTGTAATTTGTTTTATTATTAGTCTACGTTTAATACTTCAAATGTGTGTCTGTATACTTAAAAATATTTTGGCACATGAACTAATCACAGCCTAAGTCGTACCATCGACAACTTTTTAAATTTGTCGTTGTTCATGCATCCATGTACCACCTGTTGATCTAGCTAGCTAGGAGTAGATTGCCGGCCAGCTTTTGAATGCATGCTTGTCTTAGCAAGGATGACAAATGGTTGAGAATGATGTATGAACTAATCACTCTCCAGCTGTTGCAACTTGCAAACAAGAAGCATTAGTGAAGAATAGCGAATTAGTTACTACCAAGTCATAAAAACAACTCCCTCTATTTCATTTTATATTATAAGTCATTTTAACTTTTCTCTAATCAAACTTTATATGTTTGACCAATTTTATAGAGAAATTTAGCAATTTCTACAACATCAAATTAGTTCTATTACATCTATCATCAAATATTTTGATAATATGTTTCTTTTCAGTTCGAAATGTTGTTATATTTTTCTATAAACATTAGTACGTATCCTTCCATCTGTGGCGGCCTCTCACATGCCTGGTTTTGCCGGCCATCACAGCTTCATCTCAATTGGGCCAAAATAAACACCGTCGTAGAACTCGTACAGGCATAATCAAGTTGCATATAGCTAGAGCCCGTCATCGATGATACTCATCTATGACGGTGTCACGCCCAGAAATTTAGCCCAAATTTCTAGTCTATTTTGTGTATTAAATCCCTGTCCAGGACCAACCAGGGTACACGAAACGACAAATTAATATACAGATTCAAACGTAAATAAAGCGTAAAATACTTACAGAAGAGGCACTTAGTCCTCACACCGAAACGAAAGCAGCAGTAGCGAAAAAAGGCAATCCTAGTGGAGCTTCAGCTCCACTCCACAGGCAAAACTCAACTGGGGTATGAGCCTTGGTCCTCTAACTTCGTCTTCAACTCAGAAGCGCTATACTTCTGAAAGGGGGAAATAAAAGCAAGGCTGAGTAAAACCACCGTACTCAGCAAGCCACACCAAAAATGCAGACGTGCAAAGGGAAACAAGGATGGCTAGTGGCTATTTGCATAAAGGCGGTTGCAAAGCATTTTATTGAGCAAAACAGTAAAATGGTTGATTAATTAAGGTAACAATAAATCTCTACTGATCAACGCTACACCACGTTGAACAGGCCCAACCAAACCTCCTGAACTACACCAGTTCATTAACCAATTATTAAGGATGTGACTAATCATGGTGAATCTGGTCGATCGCCCATAATCACGGGCACGGCTATTCGAATAGTTTTACTCTGGCCAGAGGTGCACAACTGTACCCACAAAACACAATCCACCGGCATGTCACCGTGTCTGTGCAGACACGTCACCATGTCGAGTGATTGTGACAAGACCCTTCATATAACTCTCCCCTAACTATCCACACCACGCTAAAGTTTCACCCCCACC